GAAACTATTGAGGATCTGAGATGGTTCTTTAAACTAGCTAAAATCGTCGATGGTTCATTAATGAGCGAATGAAACCTTAAAAGGTTCAGTGTCTTGGCTAGAACCATAAATAGTTCCATATGACACCTTCTGTTTTCAGAGTAAGGGCATCAAACGTTCAGAAAACATTCTAAAGATTTTTCTTCCTGAAATTACTCATATACTTGACCATTGGTTAACACATTAGAAAAAATATGTTTTGTTTTCTAGAAACAGATGGGGTCAGTAGATTTTTCTAGGTTGATAACCCATATTGAAGTGTAATACGTGAATGATTATGAATACAATCAATAGTTAGTATGACGACCATTTGCGTTCTTTATTTTACGAAGTCAAGATGGATATTAGAATAAAAGGGCTTCAAATAGCTCGGTATCTGTTCCCATGTTTGTTAGAACATTTGAAAAATGCATTTTGACCATGTCTTTAAGATAACAATTATGTTCAGTTTCTGATAGCATCTTTTTCAACTTCATCTTTGATTATTATTCCAATATGTTCTGGCACATTGAGATCGGATCAATTTTGTAGCCAAATATCATTACCCCAAAACCATACATCGTTATCTTTCCACGCCGATAATTGCAGATCGATTACCGCAGGAAAACGCCGGAACATGGAAACAGTATTCCGGCCTGACTTTTTTCGACAAGAACCAATTGGAAATCATCAGAAAACAATCCGAAGATTTTCAGACCAGAATGCCGCTTCCATATTCCTGTGACTTCTGGTGTTTTCCTACAAGACATGGTAATTTTCCCCTATCTTTCCTACGGGTTCCTGCAGTATCCGGTGGTCAGACCCATCGACCTGGGATTGAAGTAAATATTATATGCTCACATACACAGTGCTTTATCATGGACAAATAGAACTTCATCAAGATCAATAACATTTTCTTTTTCGTTTAAGAAAGAAGATACATTTTGAGCCAAATTATGTAGCGAAAATATTCACCTTTGTTCTTGATCATCCAGAGTATTTGCCTATCAGTAAACATGATAAAAAAATCCAATACATTGTTAATATTTCACCATTTCACAATATCTTTCATTATCTTCAATATCCTCGACACGTTTTGCCCATATCCACTCATTTAAATAATCTGGTACAGAAACAACTCGCACATAAAATTCATCTGATGGCACGAGATAAATAAAGTCCTCTTTGGTTCAATCTTTTAGCCAATCGCATAGCTATAATTGATCCGATTTATGAACTTCCAATTTTAATGTATTTGAAATAACATGGATTGGCCTTAGTCCTTCTCTATGACGATAATTATTGTTTGATTGTTCCATAAACGACGTACTCTTTTTGCTTCTATACAATGTCCTTCGTCACAACAGAACAACTTTTTCTTTGTCGATCACTCGCTTGAAGAATAATATCTTGACTTGTCCGTCATAATTTAAGGTAAGGACCAGCATTTAAACAATCAACAAAGCGTTGGTCATATGATTTTTTTCACAAGGCTGTAAGAAATCGCAATCGAACGATGGAATTGTCTATTTATGAATGTTGCACCAGCATCGCGAACTTCATGAAAATCAATGCGTTTAGTTCTGTCAATAATTATCTGTTGTTCAGGATCATACGTTTATGAAATATAGTGATCAGAAAATGACCTTATATTTTTTTTCAGGCTACATAAACTTGTCTGTTCTATAACTCTCTAACAGAAGAAGAATAGCAATATCTTTTTTTATTTATCGTTACCGCGAGAGACAGATTACAGAACACAACGCCGTATGATCATTGAAACAATGCACTTTCAAATTTTTCCTAAGAAAAATTTCTGTTTCTTTTTTGATCTCACAAGTCACCAAGGTTGACTTATAACGGTTGCATTCTAGAAAATTCTCTAAAAATCCGGAGTTTTACCTATCAGAGTCCTCATAATCTCTATTGTTGAGTGCTAATAAACCCCATTTTCGACGGGCTTTCATTTGATATAAAATTCATTAGATATCCTATTTGAAATTATTGCGATGCACTTCTGAAAAAAATTCTTGTCAGAGAAATTTAGCTTCCAAATATCCTCAAAAATTGATTTTTGCGGGAAACTTTTGGATGCAAAGATAACGTCGGACAGAAGCGTTCTCGCTTAGTGTAATGATCGTCTTATAACTAGAATAGTAACTACTCCAAAAATTTCAGCTATCTATCATTTATACCGGAGAAATTTGAGAAATCAAGTTTTGACTTGAATACCCTAAATTATCCCCCTATCTAAACCTCTTCGCAAGATTTTTAAAACTTTTTAAATCTACAACTATGCTTACATTTACTAATTTTACAAACTCAGACAGTTTCAGTCCGTTTCAAGAAAATCAAAAATAATCGTGCTGCTTTTTCGAAAGAACTACCTGCTTTTATTGGATTTCTATTCTTATATGCTAAGATGCACAGAACAGAAGGAAATACCTCTATATAATGAGCCCTATTTAATATTTTGTTGAATGATTACACTCGAGAATTTCTACGGGATCATTTACATTGATTCGATTTACTTACGTTAGTGAACTACCTCTAGAAGATATTGGAAATATCGAAGATATATCGCGACACCTACATTGAGTCATACGGTGTGAGCCCTTGTTCCACATCCACATCCTTCATAGTACTTTATTAAGTTTCTGGGGAAAATTTTGGAAGATACCATATTATAAATGTTAAATTATGTCATATTAATACAATATTATTGGTTTAGAAAAAACTAGACAGGCCAAGCCTTAATAAACTAAGCCTGATTCAATCTTTGAGACGTATAGTTATATTTTAAAAAAATCGAATGTGTACATAGATAAAGGCAGGCGATTAGCAAAACAAGCTCTATTGTTGGGGAAATAAAGTCTTTACTAGTCGACCTTTTGAAAGATGTACAGTAAATATCAAAACAACGGTTTGTGAAGGGCAAAGGTATATGTTTTTGATTGGAGGAAGTAAAAAACTGCTATTTATATCATAACTTGGAGCACTACTAACTACCAATAAATGGAGAATAAATGGGTTTCGCACTTCTAACTAAGATTATTAACGCGCATATGAATGAACATTCAATCTGTTCGATTCTTTGGTCGTTTTCTGTTTCCTTTTTGTCCTTTTTTTCCATGTTCAATCCAAGTACGTAATTTTAACATTGAAACCCACACCCACACCCTCATCTCTACTTCACCGTAGTTATGCATTGCCTATATGAATGAATTTTGTCAATAATCGTATTTTATTCATTTCAGTATTCACTTTATTCTTCGTATAGTGTCATATTCGCACCGACCGTTGTTTTGTTACATTTTATTCATAATTGTGAATTCATTTAATAGGGCTAATTACGATGGACACAATACATTATGCCTTATATTTCGTTTTGTTCTTGGGCTTATTGCGCGTTTCTTCCCAAGAATACAACAAAGGAAGTTACAGCCCTTCGTTTGATAAGCAAATTCTCGTGAAAAACCTTACTGACGGATACTGGATTGAAGCTTTTCAACCCGACGATAAAACTCCTATTGGGTTCGTGGCCTTTGGGCTCTCTCGTGGAGAGATCACTTTTTACTCGAACCCGTACACAAATATGGGAAAAACCAAACCTACTCAGATTCAAAAACTTATCACTCCTGTTTCCACGAGTCAGGCTGATATTTCAGGCGATGGGTTTAACGACATTATTATCTGCTTTGACTATGGCAATACAATACACGACTTCAACCCGGACGGAGGGCACATTGTATGGCTAGAAAATCCGGGAAAGAATATCAGTACAGTACCTTGGAAACAGCATTATGTTGGAAGATCAGCAACCATGCACAGGCTTAAAATTGGTTATTTTACGCAAACGAAACGGTTAGAGATTATAGGTTTACCTATCGTAAATGGGCCATTTGATGTACCAGTACCTGTGTTGTTATTTCGACAGCCAGATGATGTGCTATCTGCTAAAGCGTGGGATTGTGAAACTGTTGATGAAGATTTTTTTCATATAATTCATGAGGCTAAAATGTTTAAAGTAAATTCGTTGGACCAACTTCTGATTGCATCACGGGAAGGTCTTAGTTGGCTTTACTATAATGAAAACTCAGCGAAGTGGATCATTGTAAAAATTGCCACTGGTGAAGAAAAAGAAAAACAGCAGACAAACTACTATGGTAGTGGTAATGTCGATATTGGAAAAGTTGGAAGTGACACTTTTGCTTATATTGTTGCAATCGAGCCCTTTCATGGGAGTGTAGTTTCGGTCTACACCAAAACTGCTAATAATTCACTGACTCATATACAATGGCAAAGACACATTCTCGATGAATATGGATATCCTAACGAAAACGGCGAAGGTACAGGTCATCATGTCATTTGTGCTGACTTCGATAAAGATGGAGATGATGAATTTTTAGTCGCACTTCGTGGACCATCGCCAAACGAGGGTATCTTTTATTATAAGCCTCTTGATCTCTCTCGTGGTTTATTTGCCAAATGGAAAGTTAGTAATGAATCTACTGCCAGAATTGCCTTGGCAGACTTTGATAACGATAGTTTTATTGACTTTGCAACAATAGGCTATCATGTTCCCGGTTATTACTTGGCAAAAGATCCTTCAATTAATATTTTTTACAATCGGTTACCCGTGGGAAAAAAATTCAAAAAAGAAACGGATGAGAACGCATTTTCGCCACAAAGGACTACGTTGTGAAGACGCTTTTTTCGACCTTTTTGAACGCGATTTTTAAAAAAAACACGTTTTCTTTAAAATAAAAAGGGCGTTCTGATGCCCCGAAAACGCTATGTTATGAAGACAGTTCTTAAATACTAAAATGTGTTTTAGAGAAACGCAAAAAGGCACTCTAAGAACACGTTATCCCAGAACGCGTTTTTCCCAATAGAAACGCATTGTTCTTTTGAAAAATAAAAAAGTTTATCCTGAGACTTATTTAGTCTTGAAACGCGTTCCCTTTCGTATCTGTTTCCGCTCTCAGATAACTTGTTTTGGTCCACTTGAAATTGCGTTTCTTGGCGAATGCGTTCTTACTTCGTTGACTTGCAGTTTCCAGGAATGCGTTCTAAGTATTCTTGCGCTTTCTGTGAGATAGATTTGACCACACGGCGTTGTAATTATGAAGCAGCGAACATTCCAATAGACCAAACTTACGTATATATATATATATAACGTGTTCAAATTCCTAGTTATATTAAATAAACGTTATATGTAAACAGTAGTCACATTTTTTATTAATCACAGGTGTAGATAATTTCTTGTGAATTTAAATGCAGTACAATTAGTAAATTTGAAAGAAGCAATTTTTTATCAACCTGTTAAAAATTCTATAATTAAAATTGTAATCATTCGAAATTATTCAAACGAGTATTTTTCAAGAGACCATCAAACTTCGAAATGCGATTTAACTACTACAAAATTTTAAATCAATATTCCTAGATAGATGTGCTCAGTACAACATGATATTCTTCACATGTTCACAGAGCCGGTACATAGTTATAGCGGTATTTTTTTGTACTAAAATGGTCCTTCTAATTAGAATGAATTATAATAGTTGTAGTTATAAACATAGAAATTTAAAGCAAGTTGAATCAAGCGTCTCACGGATGTTCTAAATTTAGTTTTGTGTTGAAGCTAAATTCTTAAATATTGATTTATATTTCGAACTCTAATAATGCAGCACACGAATAACAGATTGATACCTAGTTTTGAATATTACTTGATTTCAGTTTGTAAATATATATGTTGTTCGAAAAAATTGAAATAACAATTTTCTTATGCCTTATTAAATTTATTTGAAGATGATCGAATATAAATTACAGGATGGAAGAAAGAAATCTAACAGTAAAAAATTAACCTGAATAAATATGAAATTCCTGGCATCGTTTACACTTATAGCTTGATGTTGAGATTAAAGAAATACTTTTTACTGCAATAAAAATGATCCAATGTTGCTTTCATAGGATTAGTCACTTTTTGAAAGTGTTGAATCACAACGGATAACATATTTTCTTTTCACCTTCCTAAACTGCCATCTATATATAACATTCACGAAGTCAAAGAAACTATATCCAATTCAATAGATTATTAGTTATTTCTTTATCTCAATGGGTGGCGGTATGTTCGCCAATAAGACATTTGCCAATTGGCGACGTTCCACCGAATGTGCTGGCGAAAGTATAGTGGACGTTGGCCAATTGGCGAAAGTGAGATGGGGTATCTCAGTAGTTACACAACGATATTACGAAAGGGTATATGTCAGCACTGAAGTTAATGTTACCAGAATATATATATATATATATATATATCATAGTTTACACTTACCGATGTAGGTGAGAAAATGTTTTTTAGTCTGTGTCTATTTTACAATGACATTGTTGAACGATCACTGTACTTTCGCCAATTGGCAAAATTCCGGAACCCTAGGTAAATGCATTTATGATTTCGTTTCTAGTCTCTTCAATAACTCTATGAAGTAAAGAGAGCAAAGAAGAATCAGAAAAAAAACTAATGCTTATCGTCATTGATGGTTTACTGTGAGTGAGATGAGCGAAAAATGGAACAGAGAAATAGGAAACTAGAATTATTCGGTTGAACTTTCTACCGATAATATTTCAAATCTTCCTCAGATATTACTCACTGTATTTCAACTATGCTATTTAAATGATACCAAGTAATTTGAGTGATAACTCAATGCTGTTTTCCACTTTGCTTTTATTTCTAACGCTGTCCACTTGTTTGCGTCGAATGATTGATTTGCTTACTTGTTTTATAGTACTTTCCACTCTTTTTATTTCTGTCTCATTTTTTTCACCTTCTTTTCAATAATGTATTCTATTAAGAAGAAGTGCACACCAGAGCTCCGCGGTACGTGGAACTAGAGGGTGTGGGGTGTGAGTGAGTATTTTCATCTCCGCGCTCACTCACACCCACACCCTCATCGTTGAATTTGAAAGAGAAAAAAAACGAACAGTTTTTATTTTGAAATAAAGAGAACAAAGACATCGATAGAATCACATCGAAGAATCGACCAATGTCTAGATCAACTAAAATTCCCAAAGTGTTTGATTATTTTCATAAGATAAAATCAAATGAATCTAAAAAAACGTCGATCAATTATCGTTACGAATTTTCTTCATTAAAATTGAACTTTCGATTTAATAGTTCGAACCCGAACATACTGACCAGTAAAAACAAGAATCTGATAACAATAACCATTTGCTAGATGATTATAAAGTAATGGTCTGATATTCAACTGAATTCTTCTTTCAATATCAAGTTGCCTTTTCTTAAATATCTTTCCAAGATCTTTTCTATCGTAATAACGAGCATGAATATAAATCGATAGGACGATACATTGAAGTAAAAGATATTTTTCTGTGAAATATTTCAAACAATGATAAACGTTGAATTGTTAGCTCCATCTTTATTCAATTTAATCGATGTTTAATTTGAAATGGTTCCGAAAGAACGAATATAATCTATGGATAGAGATGAACGGAAAAAAACGAAATGGGAAAACTTAGACGAAATAAATATCCAATTCAAGTCGAGTTTCGCCTTCGAATGATAATTCGATTCCCATAACAAATAATCAGTTTCTGCATTTGCTGATAAATTTTTTGATATAGGATTTTAATTTTGTTATCCTATTTTATCGTTAACATCTTTCTATAAGTTAGATTGTTCGAAATTCGTAAACCTATCTCTACAAGTTTAATGTATAGAAGAATACTTTTCTTTTCTGATCACCTTTTATTATTTATTTCCTTTCAGAACAACTGACTGATCATCAAATGAAACGATTAAGCTCAATTTAAAAAAAATCCACCCACAATATCACGACGAACTCAATTGAAACCAGGTGAAGTTTGGCAAAATCAAACTCCAACATCTTCCCATGTCAGAAAATACGGTCAGTATACGACCGTATACGGCGAAAATACGGTATCGTTTACAGTGCCGTATTACTGCATCCAATACTACAGGAAAATACGGACAGTTTACTGCCGTAAAGATATCGTTTTCCTACCGTTTACGTTCAGAAAACGGACCGCAAACGATATCCGTTTTGATCGACCTGAGAATTCATTTCCAACTAGATATTTTAATATAAGATGTGAAATTCGAATTGATCAAACATAGAAGAAATAGCAGATTGACCGTTGAGATTTATAGAAAGAAGAATAACAAGAAGAACTATTCTCTTCATCTATTGATCGATGCCGGTTATTTTCAATATTAAAACTGAATCACTTAGGTTTTACTTAACTCAAAAGATTTCTTTATTTAATTGATTAACATGATAGAAAAGTTTTCATTATCGTTAGCTTAGATTTGAAAGAGTTGCAAACAAATGAATAAAAATGATCTCCTCGTCAGTTTTCTACGAATCTCGAATATTCATGTGAATTTCTCGTCTACATATTTACTTGTTTCATAGGTATTAGAAAGGATTCAGTTGTTAAACTCGAATATTAGTATTCATACTCTCAAAAAGATATATTCATTCTTCAGTATCGAGTTGTAGATCATTTGAAATGCCTAGTATCGGTTATTTATTTATTTTCCTTGTTTATTTATAAAATTCTTCTATCTTACAGAAAATTTTCCATAGACGAAAAGAGATGAGAACAAGAGAAAACAAACCTGTTCATTTTTGTCTTGTTTTTATTTTCTTGTAAAGAGTTTTCTCTATAGAATGAATCTAACTATTTGTTGTCTACCATCAATTTCTTCTTTTTTCTATTTCACTTATGGGAGTATTCTTCATAAAGTTTTTGGAAAACCCGATTTCAATTCTTTCTTCAATTCGATATCTCATCGAATTTTTTCGATCTAAACCAATTGTTCTTACATGATCAACAATTCTACACTAGAAAGAATTGCATTTTTCTCTACTATTGAATGAAAGAACGGAAAGGAACTGATAGTATTTCTCATTGCATTTCAGAATGAACCTGTATATGCATGCAAAAAATAGTTAGAGCTCGCATTTTCTTCCTGTTTTTTAACATATTTTTCTCCACAATGATGAACATAGAAAAAAAGTGAGAATAGGAGAAAGGTTATGTCGGTTAAACATATGGCTAACAAGAAGATGAATATCGAAAAGAGAAACAACGCGAGAATGAGCACAAAAAAACAGAAAAAATATGACTGAGTTTTTTTCTTCCTTTTTTGTGCTCATTCTTTACGACGAATAGTCGAATGCTCGATCAGTGACCTTCTCTACATCGCTCTCATGTTCTTGTTGCTTTAGAGAAAACGCACAAGTTTTACATTCTTCTTACGTCATGTGACAGATAACAAACTTATTCTTCAGTCAAAAATGTGCCGTTCATTGGTAAGACAAATATTTTTCGATCAAATTTTTTCAATTACTATCACCTTCTACCGTTATAGAATAGATAGCGAAAAACTATGATGAATAGAGCTTTGTGTAACCATGAACCAGTCAGACAATCGCTATTAGATTATCAAAAAAATGAATTCATATATTGCCTTATGATTTTATTATGTTGAAATATTCTCTTCAATCTCTAGCGTATCGATTCATTATCGATATTCATTTTATAATCATTATTCGAATAAATATTAATTGGATAAATTTTTTTTATCATTCTCCACAAAGATAAAATATTCAGTTTCATCGAATCTTACAGTTAAAAGATGAACTCTTCTTTTTTTTGTTCATGAAAAACATCGATCTGTTTCTATTTTAGGTACCTTCATCAACACCTAATGACCTTCAAGCAACACTTGATAAGATTGTTGATGAAAAGTATCAGAAATATCAACAATTGAAGATATTAGAAAAGGAAGAACAAAGAATTGTCGACGAAGAGAAGAAGATTCAAGATAAAAAGAAAAAGATCGAAGAATATAAAAAGAAGATCCAAGAAGAAGATCCAAGAAGAAGAGATGATGGTTGAAGAAGACGAAAATAACGTCATATTAGCTAAGAAGAAGCTTGAAGATGAAAAGAAAAAGAAGCCTGAAGATGAAGAAGTCTGAAGCAGACTGACTGTTATTCTCATTATTTGTTCTTGCTAATGTTTTTATTATTACATCCATTAAGATTAAACTTTTGATTTAGTTTCAGTTCAAACACATCAACCAGTAAAAACAACAAGAGCATCGATATTTCTAGGTCAACGACAATCAGAAAATGTTGAAATCGATGAACAAAGAAGAATTCGATAAAAATATGAATAATTTCCGCAATAGCCAGAAAGAAAGATCACTTTTAACTAAATAGAGACATAACAATCTTATTATGTCATTTCTTTAATCACAATGATAGGTAAATAAATAACCTCTTCATAACCTATTTGATCAGAATATCGTCGATACATTATCGAAATCAGAAAGATCAGAGAAACAAGAATTACATTGAAATAAATAATTGTATTTTCTAGATGATCATTTTTGATAAAAACATCATGCCAATAAATTGATTCAAGTGATATCGTCAAATGAGCAGAAAATTTAGTTAAATATACCGAAAGACATTGACTTTATAAAGAGTTGATTTTAGTCCAATTTCCATCGAATAGAAGGTTAAAATGTTTAAAAAGAAATTCAAACGCACACTTAAAATTAAACCATCGGATTTCCATTGATTATTCTCATCAAGATAATAATAATCAGATGTATAAAGACGAATCTGATAATCTAATGTAATATTAAATCGTTTATTGATCACTGATTATTGAACGGTTATTGAATTTCGAACAAAGATTTCTCAATTCATTAACATTTGGTTCTTTTAGATTAAAACAATAATGCTTTGATGATCGAATATTTGTTCATTGTCAAGAAAATATCTCTAATGATTTTCTTCATTTAACATTAGAAGAAGCGAACGAATGAATGAATTTAATTATCTAAAATTCAATAAAATCATTTACTTAATGGACAAAGAATAATTGAGTCATTAATAATAGAAATCGAACTATTTAAACGCAGAATTTGATCAAAGGAGGTGAAGCGTTAAGCGGTAAAAACGGTTCCCTATCGAAATTCGATTTTGTCTCCCTAATTTTTATCTACAGTAAAACCTCTACAATGAACACCTCTCGATAGTGAACAACTCCTTATTCTGAACACTCTCAGGTCCGACGGAGCGATTTTTGCTGGAAATGCACCTCTCGATTGTGAACACTTCTTTCCCAATCCCTCTAGCTACTATAACCTCTCTAATGTGAACCTATGTACATGTTTATTTTTCTCTCTCTGTTACGTAATGCTCCACTTCTTTTACGTCTGTTCTGAATAAGAAGGCCATTGTCTCAATTCGTCTTATTGTTCATTTTCTAAACAGACGAAGAGGACTCTCAATTTTTTTCTAGTTCGCCTAATTATCTCTCTCCTATATATAAGTTCTGTTTTTCTAATAAACGCAGTCAAATATTCATTTAAAAAATGTCAATACGACATGATCTTACTTTGCAACAGAAAATTGAACTAACCAATGATAACAGGAATGGTAATGGTTTATCTCAACGTACATTGGCTGTAAAATATAATATTTCGCTTGGTTCTGTATCAAATGTATTAAAACGTAAGGCAGAATATTTGGATGGTTATGGAGCAAACCAGAATCACAATGTTAAACGAAAAATACTTCATGTTAATTCACGAGAACTCGATGAAAAAGTATATGAATGGTTTGTACAACAACGTTCAAAAAACATTCCAATATCAGGACCAATTTTACAAGAAAAATCACGTGAAGTAGCTGAATCGTTAGGTGATAAGATGGATTCATTTAAAGCATCGAATGGCTGGTTAGAAAAATTTAGAATAAGACACAACATTTCATTTCGTGTTATTAGCGGTGAAAGTTTATCTGTTGATGTTACAATTGTTGATGATTGGGTTCAACGAATACCAAAAATTATTGATGATTATGATCCAAAGGATATATTTAATTGTGATGAAACAGGGTTATTTTTTAAATTTATGCCTGATAAATCATTAACATTAAATAGAGAACAATTTAAAGGTGACAAAAAATCAAAAGAACGCTATACTATTTTATTTTGTGTTAATTCAACTGGTGAAGAAAAATTAAAACCACTTGTAATTGGTGTGTATGCTCTTTAAATATCCTTAACTATTTTGAAATACTTTAAATACTTAACAGTGGCGTAGCTAGGATTTTTTTAGCGTTGGGCCGCTTCCCAGCTAAATTATTTTGAGACATGGGCTGTATTGGGCAATTGAAAATCGATTGGGCCGCAACTGGAAGTTGTCAAAAGTTTATTGCTACCTCCAAATCTATGTTGTTTCAAGGAAATTTGCCATTACCCTATTAGAAATGACCGTGTTTGCTAATATTCTCTTTTTCATAAATTAATTCTTTATTTCTCAAAATCTATCTATTTATTTCTACAGTAAAAGTCATGATTAGTCATAAATAGAACGAAAAGAACATCAGCTCACTTTATCATTTCTCAACACGTAATGATGACTGCTGCTCTATATTATATTCCTAGCGAGTCCTTTCAACCTTGTAAGATTTTTAACGGCTAATATTTTTAGTTATCTGTGCATTCTCTGAACTATATATTATCATCCCATGTAAAAATATTAAGGGTATAATCAGATTAAAATCGATTACAAAACGATTAAAATTATGCATCTTTTAGTCAATTTTTAATCAAAAATAATCGAAAAAATCAAAATTTCATTGATTATTTTGACCTATTTCGATTAAAATTGATGAAAATTAATTGAAGATTTTTTTACGCATAACGGACAGAAATCAATTGAAACCGGGTTTTTTTCATGAATTTTAATCGAAATTGATCAAAATAATCAATGAAATTTTGATTTTTTCGATTATTTTTGATTAAAAATTGACTAAAAGGTGCATGATTTTCATCAATTTTTAATCATTTTGTAATCGATTTTAATTTGACTTTACCCTTAATTGTTTTACATGGGATTCCATTACTGTTACTACTAATTCCTAAGTGAAATTTTCAAACGGCACTCATTAACATCTTCTTTTGCGAATTGGAATTTTTATTAATCAAATTGCGAAAGTATTGTCCTCACTAATACCGTTCAAGTATTCGGTTTAAGCTGCGTCTGTCGTTTGCGTTCAAAAGAATTCTATGTTCTCTCGCAATATTCATAAATATACACTGATATCTTTATCACCAACTTTAAGTGAGGACATAAGTTTGTTGACCTAGTGCTCTTTATCTAATTATACGCTTTATATAAGTTATGTCTATTATGAATGCCTAAAATAATCTAACAATTAATTTCATGAAAAAAGAAAATGATGATAAATAATAATGATTTGAATTTCTTCATTGTCATATTCATTTTAAAAAGTATTCATCATTATCGTAAAAACTACTCATACAAGTAACTACGCAACGATGAATCATATATCAATAACGGTACGACAAATTTCCTAAAAAATGATACTCTAACTAAAACATTTGCAAAGACTTACTTGCATAAGAACAGCAAGAAAAAGGCATGCGCGTTGTTATTGCTTTATTATTCTATATCGATCATACAGGTAAGCGAGAGCATTAATTCATTCAGCCGCACAGAAAAAAAAGCAATGAAGAAAGCAGTGCACAAAGCATTTCATCATAAAGCTGGCAATAAAAGTAAAAGCAAGCACAGAAATCATCATCGAGTAGCGTGCAATGTTTGTGGACTAGAAAATTTTCAAGTCGATCGCTACAAATGTTTAATTTGTGTCAATTATAATGTTTGTGCACAATGTTTTGAAAAACATCTTCAATCAGAACAGCATTCCACCGGTAAGATAACTTTAACTATGGCTGACTATATTTTCGTAATCTTTTTTTGTATGCCTTCAGGCCACCCAATGGTTCATTTTAAAGTCCCAGATGAATTATTCGGTCGTAAAATCAAATCAAAAGATGAAATTACAATAAAAACAATGGAGCATCTGTATGGCAAAGAGCAACATGAAGATATACCCTGCGATAATTGTATCATACAAAGTATATCGGGATTACGTTTTAAATGTGATACATGTCCGAACTTTAATCTTTGTCAAATGTGTGCCATTAAAAATACTACCAACGAAAAACATAAACCGGATCATCCACTTATTCTCGTATCACATGAAGTAATACAGAAACTAAATAAAAAAAATATTGAATTGGGAGATCCATTAGGGCAAGGTGCTTTCGGTAAGTAAATATAAAACCTTTTCAAAAGTATCAATGAAGACATTCAATTATATAGGTACTGTTTACAAAGCTAAATGGTCATCAAAAACAGGTCGCCGAGAAGTAGCATGTAAAGTGTTACATATTCCAGCTGGGATTGATTCTCTTAAATTAGAAAAAAGTTTTCTTCGAGAATTATCCGCATATGCTGAAGTTGATGGAGCATATATTTTAAAACTTTTCGGCTATTCCACTTTTCAAAATGAGAATAGTTCGATGAGTTATTATTTAATTACAGAATATATGACTAAAGGAAGTCTAACAGATCTTATTTATAATCAACAACAACACGAACGAATATCACTAAGACAGAAACTATGTATTGCTTGCAATATTGCGACTGGTATGCGTAAAATTCATGATCATTCATTAATTCATCGGGACCTTCGTCCGGATAATATTCTCGTAACAGATAATTATCTAACGAAAATCGGTGATATGGGTTTAGCTCGAGTCTTAGATGAATATTTAGATCATACACAAATTGGGTGTAAACGATATATGCCTCCTGAATTTTACGATACTGGAATGTATGACCAAAAACTTGATATTTTCACATTTGGCTTATCAATAAGCGAACTATTTACTGAAACACAGCATCAATTTAAAGAAAATCGAATACAAATTAAAAAATCAAGTCCAATATTCAGTGATTTGATTGATCGATGTTTAGAAGAAGATCCTCGATATCGACCAACAGCAATGGAAATCGAAGCAACGTTAAATTTATATTTGAATGAATTCGATTCTAAACACTCTACAGGTAGCAACTATTCTACGTTACCACTAGATGAACAAAATAAATTAGTTTGTCAATTTTACAAAGCGTATCACTCGGACGCTGTTCAAATTATTGCAAAACAATACCCACCTATCAAAAGATTATCAATACATAGTCTATCAACAGAAAAAAGCCACGACGATAAGTCAAAGACCAAATGTAAATGCTGTATTCAGTAGCAACCGCCGTTAGACTGAAAGAAAATGAATAATTTCAATAGTAGATTCTATTATGATTTTGATATTGTAGAATCGCAAGTCATTTTTCTTTTAATCAGTTCAATGGATAACTTTTTCATAACAAAAAATTTCTTATTCAAAACTATGATTCTCATATGTATGCAAAAATGTGCGCTCACGTGGTGGAATCTGTTAAATATCAAAGAAGCAGAGCGCGTTACTTCATAAGTTTACCAGAGAAGTAAACTACCAGAATTAGGTTGTGTCGTTCTGTAATTTTTAGAGCGCATGTACATAAATGAGCAATACTAAAAGCATAGATTCGCTTTCTGATTACCTGCAATCATCTTCACAAGTGCGATTTATCTGTGTATTACAACTTGCAATCGCGAATGACTAATTTTCATGATAAACTTCTGTTTCTCTAGAGATCAGATGCGTTTTATATGTTTGTTCAGACTAAGAAAAAGTTAATTTGAACTCATGTATTTTTATCGAAGCAGGACTTCCGTCTATGGAAAGCTATTATTCCGATCAGAGTTTGCCATGGTTTAATTGCTAAATATGGGCTTGGATTTAATCCAATAGTAATGTTTTGACTATGAAACTATCGCGCGAGGTTTTCATGATCTTACAACGTTCTACTATACGATCAGTATTTCTATAAAAATGATTACTTATCTAGTTTACAGGGTAACACAAACATTTCGATATAAGTCGAATAACACAGCTCATTTCATGTTCAAAACAGCTTGTATAGCCAAGCCACAGCGTACAGAGGCGAATAAAATCTGTTCGTCTCTGGCGAAAAACATCGTGCATAATATTTTTTCCTCGTGACTCTCTTGTGCATTGTGATCATTTATGATAGAAGAAGTATTCATGCAATGGCGTCATACTTTATTATGTTCTTTCATATCACACGCCTATATGCGCGCAATCAAGAAACAAAACAAGAGGAAATAATCAAGTGGCACAGTTGTGTACAATGTAGAGCCACAAAAGAAAGAGCAATAAAACATATGATTAGAAGAGATGTTAAAGGAAGGTTAAACGTTATGTATGAGTAGTTAATTTAACCAAACAAAGTGAATAGATAGAGGCATATGTAATAGACGCAAATGGAAACATCACATTTGTTAGCATGTTTTAATAAACGTTTGAACCTTCTCCATATAGATGCATCAAAGAATTATTCATCGCATCAGACTACGTGTTACTAAAACTGATAAGTCTGGCATATAAGTACACTCAATTTCTTGCGGTACTGCAACTTTTATCTGCCATCGCAACTCGCCTATGAATATGTACAACGATAGATAAACAGTGAACACATGCTACAGAATAATACGATTTATATTTGAAACTGCAACAAAAAATAGAAAACATCTAAGTATGGTGCGCAAACCGACGAAAACGAGCCCCGTTTGCTATTGAATTGGATGTTTATTCATGTGTTCTTCTTCTTCTTCTTCTTGTTCTTCTTCTTCTTCTTCTTCTCTTCCACGGAATCACTGTATGCTGTCGACGACCTGTAACAATAGTTTAGCAAATGAAATAGGTGCAACTGTTCAGAAAACCTGATGAACCGTCTAGGTTAAAGAGTGGCGCTCGTGCGCACATGTAATGGAGGATCTGCAAGTTTGCTGATAGGAGTTCCCTGTCTTTTCTCACTAGCTAAGGAAGAGAGAGAGAGAGAGAGGAATCGCTTGATTTCTGGGCAACAAAAATGTAACCAGATCTTTTTTAGGCCATATAACTGCATGAAGGTCTGTTCTCAATTTTTCTTTTTGTTGAGAATTGATTCACCTCGTATTTAAGATCGTATATCTCTAAAACAATGCATGCCATCAGAAACATTATTCCTCAGAAAGGTATCTATAATAATAAGGTTTTGTTCCGAAAAGAACTAAAAATGTGTGTCCTAGTGAACATAAGTGAAATTGAACAAAATAGGCACGGATGCGATTAAAATAGAAAAGAAATCTTGAAAACAGTTTGGGATCCACTCAAAGGAGACGATCAATCTTAGAACTAGTGAATCTATTTTGAATCCAAATGGAAAACGATTTTCAGCGGAGTAGCTAAATAAAATTCTGTGACAAGATCAACATTGCTTGGTCGTTAATTGCTGCCTAGACTCTAGTTAAGAAGTGAGATGTCGACAACAGCCTGGTAAAATTCTCCAGACAATCGAAGATCTTGAATTAGATACTGTGTCGAACTTGAAAATTGATCAGCGTACTTTGTGCTTTTCCTGAATTATTTTTATAATTTTCAACTCAGAGAGGTTTTCATGATAAATAATATTGATTTAAAAGATTGTGAACGATATGCTTAGATTTTTTTGTAATTTTCAATTAAAATCCCTGAGAAAAAAGCAATTTTTTGCCTTATATCTGCTTATTAAAAACTCAGAAATGTTTCAAGCAATGTGTTATTTAATGCGACTCTTTTGCTATTTTTATGATATCCTGTGCATCGTGGCAGAGAGTGTTTTTTCATAAGGAATCTTCTAGTACGGACACAGATTTGCTCATAATAATATCTTGAAAATAACTAGACTTACGATATTTCGTCTTCACTCTCTCGTATGTCACCACCATCACTTGAGGAACCAGTGACCAGTTTGTAGAATATTTTCAGAATAAACTATATTAAAGAAGAAATGAATGTTGGTCGAATAAAAATAAACTCACATAAAGCCAATAGAGATTGAGAGTGAGCAAAATCCATAGGAGACTATTGAACAACCCATGCAAACCACAGCCATTGGGCAAGGCGCGATAAACAAAGACGACTCCGCTCGAATATAACACCTTCAGTGGAAACCAGTATAAGCGAAAAATAAACCTGTCAGAATAAAGGAATAATAACAATTTTAAATTCTTCTCTTTTTTTGACATTTCATTTGATCGAATCATGTAAACTCACCAACAAACAACAAATATGCCGAAGCTACCATGAGAGGCATGATACCACATATGATATTTTTGACCACCCTGTCGCACGATAATATAACGCATAAGTTTAGTGGCCTCCAGGAAAATATCGGTTATGTCATGCATGAAAAATACCAACAAGCCGATTTTATGATAGCTGTATAAACGTTGAACGAAGAGACATATAATTTCAGAAATAGATCATGAAATCGCAATATTTACCGTGTACAATAAGACAGAGATATCAATGCGATTGTGAGTACATGATGGAGAAGCATGATAAGATAGTCTTTTCTTTTCAAATCCATGAAAATTGTGGCATAGATAGAATGGACATAGAAGCCACATTCAACAAAATATAAAAGTTTAATATCGAACGGAATCAGCATTTCGGGTGACCAATCTAAAAAATAGTCACTTAGATTTTTTTATTTCAATCGATCAATGCACTTTACTCACCATCCCAAATAAGATAGGGTTGATCGAAATAGTCATAGCGATATCGAACCAAGTAAAAGCAGTATGACCATGTAAATGTATATAGAAAACATTTCCACGCAGATTCTGGAATTTTTTTCTTGTTCATCTCTATCAAATTAAGTCGACTAATGAGTAACTAAAACAAATAAATGACTAGTTTTCTTCTTGCTGTCTCAACTGCCTTTTAATTTATGGACAAACCGTGGAAATGCAACTTTCAAAGGCATATCGAATCAATGTAATAAACACAGCAATCAAGAGAGTATAATAGATATCGTTTTGTTGAAAATAACATTGTCTAGTAAACCCATTGATTAACGACGTAGGAAATACATAGTCGCGCCACATTGTCGGTGAATAATACCACATAACAGTTCGTCGTAAATCAATCAAAAGATCGATATAAGAAGGTGACATGGAAAAATTTCCTGTCAACCCTTCATTGGCTTCAGTTGACATGTATGGATGAGCCATGTTGATTGAAATTTGAAAAAAGAAACTGGAACAACAATGAAACAGAATAGTATTGAATGCTATACTAAAAATGAAACAAAGCAAAGTTGTCCGATAGAGAATCAGACTAAAATACAGTATTTTGATATCCTTGACAGAACACCGTCGCCAAAAGAAAGACCCCGAAGAGATTTCTAAAAAAATGGCTTCTATACAGTCAATGGTAACTTTTTAAAATATCAATTCGATTTTTATTTACTTTCACCACAATTTCATCTATGTTTAGACTTGCAGGGTACATGACTATTAACCACTGTCTACTCATTCCCGTTGATACAAAAATGAAAAATTTTCTTACTCAGACACGCAAAGATCTCAGCAAGACTCTTAATAATATGTCCTTAAATATGATTTAAAACATTAGGGAGTACTCGGAAATGCATATATATATATATATATTATAACCACAGAAAAACGTAGTATTCTACAATTCTAAGATTTTCAAGGTTACATATGTTACTATAGATATGTATTTTAATGCAGAGTAATAAGTGAAGTCGACGAACAGCTGTTTTGATTTCATGACAGAGTATACTGCACTTATGTCTGCAGAATACTTCGTACATCTACTCATAAAGTATTATTTACCACTGTCATATAAAGACAGAAGATGAAATGTTAAATCAATTCCTATGTTATGCCTTTGTACATTACTACGAGAAAAGACTTCAGCCACTAGTTTTTTTTGTATAAGACACTGTTTCTATGTTCACAACATCACACCTGGCTAATGTAAAGAAAGAAAGAAAGAAAAAGAAAAAAAAATAATAAAATCTACAGTGTATGTACTAAACGCAAGAGAAATTTTATTATTGACCCGTGAAACAATCGATGACTCAACATTCCGTATAAGCTCTAGATATTGGTGTCGACAAAAAACACTGCTACTGGCAGGTTTAGTGAGTAATAGCATCTGATCATGAAGAGAACGATCGATTTTTGTTGCACTAAATTTCATGATGCCACCTTCATGTTCACATATTTGAAAAGAATAGAATTGAGAGTAGGAAAAAGAAAAAAATAGCATGATTCTCGTTCGATTAAAGCTGCAGTAACGAACACGATTGATGTCAGCAACTTTAAGTATGTAACCACATGGTGCCCTATGATAAAATTCGCTACTTTATTTGTATTGATATGATTTTTTAAGATTAATATTAGGAATATTACACTGATGAGATTTCGTTTCATTCAATTTTCAGGCTTGATTCGTTTTAAATATATACTTGTACAATTAAATCGATTTCGTTGACTTTTTTCAATGAATTAATTAGGATGAAATTTAAAAAACTTTCTTTGCAGGACTTTTTCTTGTTGAAGTAGATCCTAATGAAAGTTTTCACTTATTAGAGTATTGCCAATATTCTTATAGAAATTTAATTATTTCTACTATTAATGGATTACCATGGTTTCTCTCGTATGATTCGATACAACTCATGGCAAGATTTTTCAAGACTTCAGCATACATATATTTAATTCTGTCAAAGATGATAATCCACGTGTTTATACATTTCTCATCTGGGATGCGTATGTTTGATTTTAGATATAAGAATAATTTTCTACACCAACTCATTGGTCAAATGCGGTAAAAGGTTAAAAAGGTTAATAGTTGAAATTTCATTTTCACAATCGCCTCAAGGTTGGCTACACAGAAAAACGACACTCAGATGTTGACAGCCAGTGACTGATTCCAGTCGGAAGTCATGCATCGAGTGAAAAAAAAGAGAATAAGAAAAAATGGCAATGGCAGCTAAGCGACTGAAAAGAAAAAAATCGGCGCAGTACTTCATGCATACAAATACCTAAATAATTAGAAAAGAACAGAGAATAAGAAAAAACAACAAGACTGTGGCAATATATACAAGACTAAATCAATGATTATTATTCTGTACAAAACTATATTGCGCTAGTATTTAGCTAGAGCAACAATTATTGTGAGTTAAACGCTATCTTCACTTGTACTCTTTCGAAACAAGGAGCTGTAGTTTAATTCATTTTTGTGTACTCAAAAAGTGACTACACTCTAGACTAGGTCAGTGTGTCCTGCCGTTAACACGATAACTCGTGAAAGCCTCATCCAATTATCTTGAAATTTTGTACACAGAATGATCTCATCAATATCTCAGTCGAGTTCGAAGATGAGAAGGATCCGTCAAGAAATGGCTGAGTTATCGAAAAAATTGTCATTATTGACCAGACCATCCCTGAGGGGGGATACAGGGATTTTTTCAAAAAAAAACATTTTTCTCAGAATTATTCAAAGCTTACATAAGTCGACTCAGTTTTTGCAGTACACGTAACAATCGGATGCGAATCCGATGTTTCCTCATTTCTTGTAGTTTCTCTTCGAAATCATAGAAACTCGTTGATTGTGTTCTCATGATCTCCATCCTTTTTTTTCGTTTTCGGTTTCCAATCTTTGAACAACAGTTCGTTCATGAAATTACGTAAAACAATTTTATTTTATTGATAACAATGAAATACTCGCGACTAGAAAAAAAGGAAATATGTTGTAAACTTAATTCAAATTAATTTCATGATGTTGTCGAGAAACAATTTTAATCTGTTCATCATTGTAAAACTCGTTTTTTTTGTTTAAAATTTTCGTGATCGCACGTTCATTTACTTGTTGTTGAATCAAAAAGAGCCATATTAATATCTTTAAAGGCAAAAACCAATTCATAAAGAATAATGTATAAATACTCTCTACTTTCCACGAAAAATGCTGCTCTTTTTGACACTTCGAAATTCTTTTCAGGCTCTTGACAAATGATTTTATGAGTAGCGGGACAGTTTTACAACAGAATGCCAAATATATTGAGCAATCATCGACTCGACGTAGAACAATGCACTTTTTCAACTTTGAAAATTGTGTCCAATGGCATCATTCATGAAATGAAGCCTTCTGTAGTAAAATTAATTTTTTCGACTGTTGAGTATTTTTTGATATGATGACTTGCACAAAGTATGAGATAACTGGTTATCTCTTATCTCACATAGCGTATAAAATAATACAAGAAAAAATGTTGAGTCATTTTTGTATCCATTATAAAAGATGAGTATAAGATTTAATGCGAAGTAATTTCTATTGCGATTTTTCTGAGACTAGGGAATACTATCGCCAGTAAATTAGTGCAATTCAGTAAGCATGTTTTTTATCTGCCTTTTTGAACATTTAATGAACAAGGCCATTCAATCTAAAAATGTAATATAGAACCATTTTTGAGTAAGTAACATGGAGTAGATATGAATTTTATTTATTTTTATTATAAATTTAAAGAGTTTTGAATGATTTTACAAGTTTTTCGCATTGATCAATGTCACAACTAGTTATTTCTTCAAATAAAAACAAAACATTTAGATTAATCACTGAGATTCTAACATATTCATATTCTCTTCTTTTTTGTATGATATAGATCTGAAAACAGTTGAACTAAACTCATTGATATTACTTAAAATTTTAGACTAAATTTCAACACGACATTGCGACTTATCTTGATTTTGAACCGTATTCGTGTTTCTTCGATCGCTGTGTGATGGCTAAATATAGAAATCACTTACCACAGCTTTCCGACGCCTTCTTTATTACTGAAGGTGGTGTCGAGACTACGCTTATGTACGCGCACAGTATTGAACTTCCGTACTTTGCTGCATTTCATGTATTGAAAGATGAAGTTGGATGTGAATTGATAAGAAATTACGCCAGCTCTTTTTGTAATGTCGCTCAAAAACATGGTATTGGATTCATCTTAGAAAGTGCAACATGGCGTGCCAACCCTGATTGGATGCGAAAACTTGGCTATTCTGATCAAGATGTAATTGACGTCAACCGTAAGGCTATCGAATTACTTGTCGACATTCGTAATAAGTTTGAAACAGAAAAAACTCAAATAGTTATTGATGGATGTATAGGCCCACGTGACGATGGATATCACCCGAATGTTTTAATGACAATTGAAGAAGCACAAGCGTATCATGCGACACAAATTGATATTTTTAGCAAAACTAGCGCAGATATGGTGACTGCTTTGACTTTGACCTATCCTGAAGAAGCTATTGGAATCGTGCGAGCTGCAAAGGCAGTTGGAATGCCTGTGGCGATTTCATTTACGATGGAAATCGATGGTAAACTACCAACAGGACAAACGTTAAAAGAGGCAATTGAGCTCGTGGACGAAGCTACTGAGAGTACGCCTATCTATTATATGGCTAATTGTGTGTATCCCAGTCATTTTCAGCATGCTTTAATCCCCGGCGGAAGTTGGACAGCTAGAATTCATGGAATCAAAGGCAATGCTTCAAAAAAGAGTCACGCTGAGCTCAATAATGCGAAGGAACTTGATGAAGGAAATCCAGTGGAATTTGGTGAGGATAATCGAGCACTTTTAGATAAATTGACGACTTTGAACATCATCGGTGGATGTTGTGGAACAAATCTTCGTCATATTGAAGAAGTTTGCAAAACATGCATCAATGTATTCGATCAATCGAAGCATAATGCTGATTCAATCAACAACATCGACAAAAGCTGATTAAGATATTAGAAAATACATTTGTCAGATTGAAATAAAATAAAATCACGATAATCATAACATAGAAGAGTACTTTTCAGCAACAATCAGAATACAGTTTTTTGATAAATCTTTTACATGCATCTTTTCAGAAAATGCGGATTTTATCAGTACAAATACATAATAGCTCAAGTGGGAAAAGGCGGATTTGGGATTTAAAATCCCAAATAATTCACCGTTTTCGCCTTGTAATAACTCGTTTTGTATATTTCAATAGAAAAATTCGGTCTATTAGTATAATTATGCTTCTGTTTCTTGCTCTGATTGCTAAGTTCCAAAAGTAAATTAACAAATAAATTTTTACAAGAATTTGTTAACATGCATCGATGATCAATCTTACTGTTAGAATCAAAAGTATGACTGTTTAACTAGTACAAGTATCGTTTGTATCATCACATTTTAAATCTTCTTCCCAATCAAGGCAAAACTTGTGCATAAAAAGTAGACTGTTCTACATTTATTTTTTAAATCAATCAAAACAAAGATAAACGTTCATCTAATTCAGTTTTTTTCTTCCAAAAATTTTCACTGGATCCATTAGTCCAACTAGAACTTTTTTGTAAGATTAAATCGGCTTTCATTTCCGATGGTGATTGTGTTTTATGATGAAAAAGTTTTCGACATTGAACTTTTTTTGTTGTTTTAGATATTTCCAAATGTATTCCATAAACAAGTGAGTTAATTGATGCTTGAATTTGTTCTAATTTAATTTTAATCTCATTTTCTTCCTTCTTATTAATCATTTGATTTGTATCGTGTAGTCGAAAGCTAATGCTTTTCAATTGATTAAATTGTTTCAGTTTAAATTTATTTAATTGTTCAATAAGTTCTTCACGTATTGCACGAAGATGTACAATGGTATCTTTTGCATAAGTACGATCCAATGATAATTCTTCAAATACTTGTTTATAACATTGTTCGATACTCATGGAATGAAGTTTATGATATAATTGTTGAAGAATTTCATAGAATGATAGATGTCGTTCAATAAATCTATTATGATGAACTATGATATGACTTAAACAGAGTGACTGCTGGCAATCATAACATAGAGCACATGATAAATTTTTGCAGTTAGCTTCTTTACATGTCATGTTAGTTTACGTGAGAATAAAAAGTAATGATTATAATGGGTATCTTCTCCTTTGTTTTTCTTTTCTTTTGTATAATGTACAGACATAATAACGCCCGATGACGATTGCGAGGAGGACAAGAGAAAGATATACATATAGTACGATGCACCACGATGAGAAATTTCGCATTCATGTGGTATCAAATATTTAGATTCTGAATAAATTGAATTATTAGTAAATACTGTCACTTTCTTTGAAAGTCGAATAACGTTTTTCAATTTTTCCTAAAAATAAATCAAATATTCTAAATCATAGAGGTTCTATGATCCACTTTAATATTTTTATACTTTTTAGTGAAATTATTTATAATACAGATTGAATTTCTAAGTATACTACGTGAGAAAGTAATCATTATTTTATTCGATCGGCTGCAAACCATTTTAATACGACAATTTTCGCTGGCCAATAAAATGTTATTTTCGATAGGCAATCGATTCCAGTTTTAGAAAAAAATATCAATTTATCGTTTTTGTCCGTAAATTAAATTTCATTTATACCAAAAGAAAAGAAAAAAAACACGACTCATAGAATTCAATAAGACGATAATGATATTCTTACGCACACATCTTTCATTCCGAATAATCAACAAACACACTATCTGAATAAAGATACACACATACAAAGAATAATAATACAAGCACTTGTATCTTATTGAGCAAACAATAAGCTAGCTCATCTATTGCAGTGCCTTATTTATATATATATATATATATATATTTATAGAAGAACAGGATTAACTAGTAAATAGAGTATAATAACAAATCTGATCTGGAACACGCACACACTCATAGATTATTGAAATGAAGAATTATTTTTCACAAAACACTGTTATACGTAGAAAGAAACACAGAACAAGAAAGTGACTTAAAAAAAACGAACAAAAACTTTGCTTTAATTTTCATAATACCGGCCGGCTATATTCATCATAAACCTATTTTTGTTTGTGTTTTTTTATAGATATATATATAGATATATATAAACATGGAAGAATAAATATAATTATGTATTTTCATGACCCATTAGTATATGTAAATCACATGGCGTAGATGAAAATGGTGCTGTAGTTAATGCACTCATTGATTGTGTAGGATTATTTTCACTTTTCGAAGATAACGATGGACGACTTTGCAAAACAATTAAACTTGAAAGAAACAACGGATCGAATTTATTTGAATATTAAGAATATCTTTTACTCACCGATCACTACCAATCACTCGAAATGAGCGTGTATGATCATAAACTTCCTGTGTAACTTCATTATCTTTTAAATTTCGACCTTGCATTCCATGTTCATGAAATGCAAGTACACTATCTTGTAAACAAACTAAAAGAAATTTAGAAATAAAAAATATAATACATAAATATTTCAATCTATTGTTACCTAACGATCGAACTTCACAATCAAAATGTAGTTCCGACAATGTTCGTCTGCTTGTACGAGGTTTACCTTGGGAATTAACAATTGTTATATTATCTAAATTAAGAAGAATAGAAATTTTTATTTTCAAGCTTTTTGCCTTTTAAACTTACTTCCATGGCAAATAAGTACTGTATCGGCATCTTTTTCATGTTGAAGTACATAGGAAACATTCGTTAGAAGAGAAACTAAATAAATAATTAATTTAGTAAAATTAAAGAAACATACGAAGAAAGCTAGATGGTTTTTCTTTGTAAGCTAATTTATTAGGAATACGCACGTAGTAGACTCAATTACAACAGAACTAACGGGTTCAACGTCATCGAATAGACTTGTATTTCCTTAATTTAGGAATCGATCACAACTGCAACAAAGATATGACGATCTCAACTCTGCCATTCATTAGACGTGTAATTATGTAGGAGATAAAAAAGAAATGAAATGTCATAGTGCTCGAAGGCACATGATGTAGTAGAATAGATGACCTTTGGCATCTGATCCTTATCTCGTCGATATATCCTTCATCACTATCTGCTCAGTTTGTTAATTATCGTACAATATTTTAAGCAAACTGATGCGGTACTAACTGGAAAATGGTATTCTTCGAGCTTTCCGTTTCAACAAAATGATTAACTAACAATTCAATTGTTTATTGCAAACCGAGGAGATGTGTAAAGATAATTCTTACTGCCGAATTATCTCATAAAAATTCTGTCATTATGATTGAGCAGTACTCTATCCAAAGAATCAAACACAAATCTATCTATCTGCTTAAAGAAACATAAACGATATTCTTCCAACTTGATATTCGAATCGAAAAATCGAACAGATAGAAATTATTATCCTACGTACCATCATGATAATTTTCCATTTTTTCCGTTTCGAAATTAATCGACGCGAATTTATATGCATCAGGAGCAGATTTACTACAAGTAAATAAATAAATCATCATGAAATTGAACTAATGCAAAATCACTATTTACCTTTTACTAACACCAATACAGACAATCGCATATTGGTTTTCCGGCGAAAAAATCATTTCGAATATTGACGGTTCAGTAGGTATTGAAATTGAAACAGTCTGCAAAGATAATAAATTTACAGAAAAGGCAAAACAACGTTTTATTTGTACTTTTAAATGCATGAATTTTCTTAGTGGATCATAGTATTGCATAAGAAAAACTTCATTAGTTAACATTCCGGCGAGATAAATGAAACCATTAAATTGATTTCTCCCGACACAACATCGTATACATCCGCGTGTATTATTGATCTTAACTGAAGTGACTAATTTCCTAAAAATTATAGCGAGATTTTTTTTATCTAAATACGTAAATATTAATTAGGATTATTTTTACTTTGGCATTAACTTTTCGAATTTGTGTGGAAATTGAATTTTATTCAATTGAAGTGATAATCTTGCTGTACTTTTGTTATGTAATAATAAATGCAAATCATGTCGATATAGTGTATTCGATTTTCCTAAAATTCGAAATGAATGAAAATCTTTGCAAATTTTAACAGTTACCCGAAATAGACCAGAGAATATTATCTTTAACGAATAACCAAGTTGTTCGTCTTGGATATAACTAAAAAAATAAGAACGGATGAAAATTGGGAAATATTTTGTCACTATTTAAATTACCAATTCTAATGTAGCATCATGTAATTCATTAAGATTCAACGAATAAACACCTTCTTCAGCAGCAATTAGTACCAATTGATCTAAGAAAAATGAATTTTCAATGAGACCTCTATTGAAGAGCACAATTATCTGTTTAACTAATTGAAGTATCGATTAATTCATGGGATCGAGCAACATGTGCAGATCAATTACGTTTACAATGCAATGCATCGTAAGATTACATATACGATATTCAATCAATATTGGCATAGATTTTCTTTTAATCCTGAAATAAATCATACATTATTAAGCGAAGATCTCCTTGATAGAATTAATCTTTGTTCGACAAGTAGAAACGTTAACGAATTCGTCCTTCTAGATATATGGATGCTCAGCAAATCTCAGCCATAGACAATTTATTTCTCATGAGATATTCAATACCCCAAATCAATTATATATTTATATACGAAGGACAAATATCTTTATGATTCAGAGCGCTACTTATGAGCAATGTAGATTCCTCTTGGAAATTTGTGATTCTAGTGTTTGTTCACAATTTTGTTAGTCAAAAAAAAAAAGGAATTGTCAGCGTGTTGACAGGAACATGCATACGAGCTAATCCTTTTAGTCTCTATGGGACCTAATTAAAGACAAAATGTTCGTTCGATTGACGTATCTCGCTAATGAACCTTCCTGCTTAAGACTGATGTTGTCAGTACGATTAGAATTGTGTGAGGTCAAGGTCTTTATGATCTTGGTTATTGTAACACTGTTTAACTCTTGTCGTTTTATATGTCCAACCATCTAATATTATGTATCTCAATCAGAGAAAAATTCATTAAGCTCACCCCTAGTTTCATTATTAATCCAGCAACAACTCGCATGAATTTCTAATGGACATTCATTAAATATTTTCATAAAACCAGCACCCATGTGAACTCTTGGTACACTTGGAATACCATTTGATAATGTTGACATCGTTGATTTGTCTTGTTTTGATTTCAATGTATTATCATCATTTTTTGATTTTAATGTATTATTATTCGTATCAGTATTTTCATAAGTTATCTGTTGATCTTTTTTCTTTGTTTTACTGGTTTTTGTTGGTACTGGAACAGGTAATGGCGATCGTTTGATTGTGTTACTATCGTTCACTTCATCTTCATTTTCGTCAACATCAGCATCACGCATAACATCAACAATATGTTTTATTTCATTTAATGCCAAATCATCAAATGCACTCAATGGTAATTTAGACATTAAACGCTAAAAACAGGAGAGATAGAAAAATTGTAGTTTTATTCGATGAGATTTTTATCTTTTTTTTCTTCGTCGTTACCTGAATATCTTCATCTGATAAACCTAAAGACTTCAATCTTTGAATATGTTCCGCATTACCATTTTCTTTAGCTTTTGTTGTTGGTGGAACATGACCACTAAAAAAAAATAAACAATATGTTTTTCTACTATTCAAATCAAATTTTAAATGTTAGATATATGTGGATCTATTCATGCTAAGCATTGAGTTTTTTTTTCTTTAGTGAACTAAGAATTTTTTTTTGTGTATATAATACCGTCGGGATAATTCGTCGAGGAATGAATCCAAAAGTCCACTAGAGAAATGTATGTGCAAACAAATCTTCTACCTGTTATTTATTACTTACGTTTCATCAATATTTATTACAGGACGCTACAATAGAAGGAAATATACAATTTATCAAGATTTGTTTTTTGATTTAATTGAAAAATTTAAATTACAGTCTCATTAGTTGAAACTATTCCATTTGTTTCTGACGGAATTGGGTCATTGAGAATTGAACTACGGATTAATGGTGGTTGATTGATATTTGTAATTATTGGACGAGCATCTAAATTGTTTTTTTTTGAATAATCAAGTTACGATGATTACATTAAGATAGTTGAATTTTTTTCTTTCATCAAAAACAGAAAATCTTACTCGATGAAGCTGCAACAGATTGTTCTTTATTCGATGTAATCTTCCTTGGTGCCTGAGAATTGGTCTTAAATGATAGGAACAATCAATAGATGAATATTTATTAATTGACTTTTACTAACTCGATCATCATCGTCATCATCACGATCTTCTGAAGTCTGATTACTCGCTGTACCATTATGTAATCTATCGAGTAAATCCCGTGCAATAGAAGACGTCAAATTTCCATGAAAGAATGGATGCTAAAAAATAAGATAAACTTTATGATATAGAAGTCAAATATTTTCATTGAATTACTTCAAGTAATTTTTCAGCTGAGGGTCGTTTTTTAGGATTTTTTGTTAATGCATATTTGACAAAATTTTGAAATGTTATAGTCCATTTGAGTTTATCTTTTAATGTTGGCGGTTTAAAACCTGATTTTGACATTAAAAACAAGGCACGCATAGGATGCAAATCAAACATTGGAGGTTGTAATTCAGCAAATTCAATCGCTGTTATACCAACAGCCCATATATCACATAAATGATTATAACCACCTTTACGTTCGACAGCTGCTACTTCAGGTGCCATCCTAAAATAAACAATAGTTTGAATTTTATTTTTCGTTTTTCTTCTTACCAATAAGGTGTGCCAATGAACGACTTTCGTTTACACATAGTCGCTGTTATACTTGCTGCGACACCAAAATCCGCTATATAAAAAGACATGCTTAAACTATGAGATTAATATTTAAAAAAAATCTTTTACCTAATTTAACGTTTCCATCTTCAGTTAATAAGATATTTGCGCCCTATGTCAAATATAATCAAATAATTCTATTCATATAATAACATTCTTACTTTAACATCTCGATGCATTTTCCCATTTTTATGTAGATAATCTAAACCTTTCAATGTTTCTCTCAGTATATATGCTATTTGTAATTCGCCAAGTGATCCATAAACTAATAATATAAACAATTTATATTTATATGAAAAAAATTTGAAAATTATCTCAAACTAACCATGATAAATATCTTGCATGGAACCACCACCACAAAGTTCCATAGCAATCCATAATTTGTCTCTTCTAAATATGCAATATAGAAATCTGCTTTTTTTGTTTCTTTTTTTTTCCTACTTTAAATAACTTCCGAAATATGCGATTATATTTGGATGACTACATTGTAACATCATAAGAATTTCTTGTTGAATTATATTGAAATCATCACCAGCTTCAAGTTTGATTACTTTAAGAGCTCGCATCGATGCGGTGGGAACATGCCTTGCCTTAAAAGAGAATAGCGAATAGAACTTTCTTTTCCTATGTCAATATTTCAATTTACTTTATAAACATCTCCATATGTTCCTGAACCAATACGTTGTATAAGTTCGTATTCATCATGTGGACTTGATGTGGAAACAAAATCAAGCGACAAATAACGATTACTGCTAACACCAGCAGCAGAACTTAAGTCACTCACTACTGCTGCCATTGTTTTATGAGCATAATACTATAATCGATTTTAATATAATATTCAATCATGGCATATTTATTTTTATTTATTGATCTATTTTGAGAAAGAAAACGATCAAACCAACTGATATGATCATCATCTAGCGGTAAGAATGAGTCATCTGAAAGTACCATTACATGTGTGATAAAAGCCTTTATGAAATTTAATCGGTATTTAATATTCCGCATAGTAAAATTTATTTAAGAAAACAATTGCAAACAGAATGGAAAATATCTTTCAAACGATTTTAAAATAATTTTATGATGATTTAATGTCTTATTGTGAGATTTATTGATCACTAACGACCTCTTTCGGTTAGAAAATTGATGTAAGTAAATTATTTTTACATAGAATTTTCATTTCACAATTTGAATTAATTAATACAGCAAGTGACGATGATACAGTAACTCAGGAAGTACGTTATTTGTTATCCGTACTTTTGTCGTCACTTCGTCTTATACGAACGGTTACTATTAAATACGATACATAAACGACCGTTCAGGGTAATGTAATCTTTATACTCGGATATGTCATCTTATGTTCGATCTCCAGCTGAAGAACGCCTACTAAACAGAGGATGGGACTTCTGCATTGACAATAAAATAACAAATTTCATTTATTTTAAGACCGATATGGGATGAAATGCATATATAAATTTCTGACACGTTATAATACAAGTACATTTTTAATAAACTGTCGCTAAACTATAGAATTACCCAAAGATATATATGATCGATGTAACTTAAAAAGACGAAAATTAGAATATCAATAACGATGAATTTGATGTACTTAATCATTGAAAAATAATCGCAATGTGATTATTTATCGTGGTTGATAAAGGAAATTGTATATAGTTATTATATTAGATAAATAAGATGATATTAAAAAGATCAACCGAATTCTCAAATTAAAGCAATTTAAAAGCAACTCAGGCTGATCAAAACGGACTCATTTACAGTCTGTTTATCGACGGTAAACGATGTCAAAACGGTATATTTACGGCAGTAAATAGGCCGTATTTGCCCGTAATACCTGGCACAATAATACGGCACCGTAAACGGGACTGAATTTTCATGGTTTACAGCTGTTTGTGCTCCGTACTCTTATGATCATACGGACCGCACTGTTCGACCTGGGAATAACGATTCATCGTTCAATGAAAAATATTAAGATAATGTTATTGATAAGAAAACATGCTGGACAATCCGATTGACTTTCTCATTTTATGCAACTATACTTACGCGCGTATATTTTGACAATCAAAAGTATACACAAAATGAATAGTTCACCTTGGCCATTATTTTCATCTATTCATTTTTACAATTATAAACCTTCTAGATTCCAGTACCAAATCATTAAAGATAATAAACACAATCCATCACTTTTTTTCGTTAAAAACTTATTCGAATTCGTAAATAAATTACAGCAATTTGAGATACTAAAGTTATGCTAGGATTTGGTGCTGATAATCTGTATATTATAATGTATTTACTCATGAAATTATAGAAATTACCCTGGATATATATGTGAAAAAAATCAAAATCTTAACCAATTTCATTTAATCACAACTTACACAGCTGTTAGAATATGCAGTATTCAATTGTTCCATTTTAATTTTTCGATAAAATATTTTCACACAGCAATGGAGTAGCAATGAGATTACCTTTAGCACCAATTCTAGCAGGATTTACTTATATCGAATCGCGAACAAAATGAAGCAAATTCTCTACTAACAAACCTACAATGCTGATATGATATATCGAAGATTTATTTTTACATTTTAAAAAGCAATCAAACTATTAAAGACTCGTTAATGAGAATTAACAAGTGACATACTAATATAAATTTCACATCTGAGCATGCACCTGATGATAAACTATCATTACTATATGTACCAATTCACTCAAATAATATTATAATAATGTACATAACACTAAATTTAAATAGAAGAACAACTAACACAAATATCGATCTATTATATGAAAGTAATCAATGCAGGGAATATAAATTCAACTTAATTAGAAGAATATACTCATTCGTAATTATTTGACATGTTTAACAGATAAATTAAACGAAATCAAACTTAAATAAATCTAAGAAAGTTTGATAACTATAAGCTGTTATCCATGTCATCTTATCAAAAAAATTGATTATATGACGGTGAAGTTATTAGTAATAGAATCCTTAAAAGAAAATCGACAGATCCACACAAATTATTTAAAGAAAAATGTTTTCGGATCACATGTTATGGCCAAGAATCAATAATATTAGCTCATCACATTATAAGCAACTATGCAAAAATAACTATTGCTACTCATTAAGGTTGATGTATGTTTTAGAAAAACATTAACTATAATGAATTTATTTCTACAACTTCAAAAAGAATAGATGGTTTAATGAAAACTGAAACTCTCATTTTGCTAAGTATATTGCGTAAACTACAACAAATAGTGACATATAGCGAAACAAGCCGAGAAAAACAAACTTAAATGAAAGAACAAAAATTGTAGAAAATTTCTCGGTGTGTCTATATTGGTGGCCTGCCTCACTGATCATCCCATCCTCTTTCCTCTTTTCTCTTTTCTCTTCGCTCTCTTCTATATAACTGTGTGTTATGTATAAATTTATGAGACTTTGGATAAATGAAGTAGCTGAATAAACATCATCGCCGAGGGTGGCACAAGCTACTCGTCTATTTTGCCGCTACACTCGGAACCATCGAATGTTGCAAAAAATGCCAACAAAGAAAAGCATTTATTCAAAGTCATATGATCTGAAGGCGTGACTCTCGAATTGAATTGAAGAAAAATAAATATCAAAGAGAGTTTATTCGCTCATCAAATGCAAAATAAATCCTTAAATGATGTGAAATTTAACACAAATATTTTCAGATAAAACGAATTGCAGGTGCATTTAGGTATATTTTAGCGACCCTGACAATTGTTCTACGAACATAATAATTTACAAATTATGATCTATGAATTAACCTAATTTCTACTTCTATTTGTCTAGTATTTTTCTTTTTCGTTATTTCTGAAGATGATAAGTGTATTTGTTACAGAAAGTTTGAATAAAATAATAAATGATATTTGCTTAAAATCTGCAATGATATCCGTAGCACTTCTATACTCACTATTTACTAAATTAGTTTATATGTTATATGGATCTCATTCTTGATTCAAATAATTGATGAAACATGTGCATATTAAATCGGGAAAACAATGTAGCCGATGTAGTAATAACCAGAAGAAAATTGGTGAGTTTACCACTAAAAATGAAGTGGAATTTGCGACATGGGAAGCATACCGGTTAAATAAAAATTAGTCTTGTAAATGATTTATTGTATAAATTCTCAAAGATCGACAATGAACATTTCATAAATCGCAATCTTTTTTGAGAATCGCTGTATTAAACACAGTGGCGGCCGAGTCACTGACACCCATGAGGCTTGAGTCTCACCTAGATTTCACAAGATGAGGTTCAGCCTCACTTTCTTTTGTACTGATTATTGCTATTTTTATTCTAGCATCAAAGTAAAAGCAAAGAAAAGTATATTTTGGTATTTTCTAATCTTCATTTTTATACTGACCATTTTTGTTTTTACTGAAATTCAATAAAAAGAAGACTTATTTTCTGCTTGATGCTTTCATAGAATTCCACATTAGCAAAAACAAAAAGATTACGAGTCTCACCTAGCTTAATGACGCTCCGCCGACCCTGATTAAACACCCTAGTCAGCTCTCCTTAGAATAATCCACAGGGAGTCCCTTGGCAAATCTCCGGGGAGTTGCCTGGGGGAAAATGAATGAACTATTTAATTACTAATAAATTCTTCTTAATTTTTTAAAATTTTAAAAAACGTAATCAATTCTCCCCAGAGAAATTTGCCGGGAGTTTCTTAAATAAAAAGTCTCCGGGGACTCACGGCAGGGACTCCCCGGGAATTCATTGGGGGAGAGTGGATTCGGGCATGATTTTGTTATTTAGTGAAAGAACTGCAAAAATTACTATTCAATGCCCGTTATGAATGAATTACCGCATATTATCAGATCCGACTGTCGGAATGATTCTTCTGGATGACTGAAAGACAACAATCAGTTGAGTGCTAATTCGAACACGAGCTATATAATGAGAGATTACCGTGAATCATTTTGCTAATTAAGAACTAATAAGGTGTTCCCATTGCAATCAAATACTTGTCTATGCTGTTTATAATTTCCTATATTGTTTTGTGGAACTCACATATATTTCCGAAGAAAATAGTGAGTGTAAGTTGAATTTTTAGGTTTTTGCGGCTTCCCTGTACCCCACCCCACTCCCTCCCCATTACAGACATAAAATATAAAAAAACTAACACTTAGACGCACTAATTAGAAGCGTTTTTGGTACAGGTCGATTGCCTATGTTCATCACTACTCGCATCAGTAATAAAAACCCATGTAATAAAAGCCGCCTGAAAACCGCCTGTTAACCGCGGTTTACCGTAAGAAATGATTCGGTATTCGCAACATGGGAATTTAGTTTCACTCATTAGAAATCAATATAATTAGGATTTAATCTCGAATTAATCATCAAAATCTGTCGTTTTTATTATTATAGCCTATAGTTACGACAGTATCATGTATTTTTATTATTACAGACGTTAGCAACGAGTGTATGCTACCGCTACAGAAGCTAGCAACTAGTTTATGCTACTATTACACTCAAGGGGGAAACGGCGGATTGCGGATTTTCGGATTTTTTTTCGGACTGTTCATGGATTGGCGNGTTAAAAAGGTTTTATTATCTTATTTTTGAACAAAATATGATGTGACTACACTGAAAAAATAAAACTTCTATTTGATCAGTATCTAACTGACCGAAATATGTGAGTCCCACATTTTAGCCCCAACGGGACTGTGCTGAAAAGCTTTTATTAAATAATTCATCGGTTAAAGAGATTGTTTGCATGTATACAGACCGTACTAAAATCTATAGCA